CTTATTATTATTATTCATTTTCATCGGGAAAACATTTCAAAGTGTCGTTTCAATTCTATTTATTTATTGGAGTGCTCGTGGATACACGATATATTTTGTTTTTCCATCTGGTGCGTACACGAATAAATCAGAAGATTTTCAGACGCCCGAGCCAGCCACATACAGTTGTCCATGCGAGAAGCACGGATTCTCCAAATTTATCCCATACACTCGCAGCGATTGTCAGAAGCGCGATATTCCCCATTTATATATATATATTAATCCTTTATAATTTTAATTATTTAATTGCTCCTTCCTCTCTTCCTTGGCATGTTGTGAAATTTCTGATAGTTGGATAATAAACCGTTTTATTGTAATTTGTCTTTTTAAATTATTTTACACACACACACATTCATTTATATATATATATATATATATATATAGATTATTTGCTGAGAAAAGAAAAAACTATGATGAAAAGTGCAGATGAAAAAGAGAAGTGTAATAAAGAAATTAAATTAAAGTAAAGGGAAAAATAAGAAATTATAGAATAATAAAATAAAATCAGTTGGCGTTTAAGCCTTAGATAAATTGGAGTTGCTCGTTAAAAGCATTCGCGTTTGAGAATTTGTCCAGTCTCCAATGAGAAAACTGCGTCTGAAACATAACGTCCATAACGTGAGTTGCTTGACACGACTTTTTTCTTACTCTTTCCGCCCTGTGGGCATTAAGGGCCTCTTTTTGCAAGCCCATTACGGGATCGGCCAGGCCCACAATGGGGATGCCGGATGAGACCCAACATATCCGAATAGACAACCCCCCGAAAAATTTCCTTGGATTTTACGACCCGTTCGGATTCGAACCCGGGTCCACCAGAGCGGTAGGCTGCCACTTTGATCGCTTAGCCATCCGGTTTTATGTAACCTGGGTTGCATCGGAAGATCTTATACGGTTAATGGAGGCCTCCTGCTCTTATAAGTTCTATAAATGGTTTCGTATTTTATCTACCTGACTCCGGAGAATCTAAGGAACGTAATTAACTTTTTCTACCTTAAATCTGAAAAATAATTGAACTTAAATTAACTTCTTCTCAAATTTAAAAAAAGGTGTGAATTTGTTTTACTTGATAAGGGGAAATCATCTTAATATTGTGATTCGTTATTATCAGGTAAAAATTAAATAAAAAATTTAAAAATAGATCGAAGATACGAATTGAACTAGAAACATTAAATCAGATCAACCAAAGTTATAATATTCGCTTTTATTCGAAGAAACGTAGTTTAAAATCTCGATAAGTGAGACACACAGAAAACGGCTTTTATTTTCGACAGAGATTATTCTACATTGAATAAGTAGGAATCTTCTTGTTCAGTCTGCAAATGTTATAAATGTCAAGCAATGTCTACAGGTTATCATCAAGGAAATGAAATATAAATACAAATTACATTTTTTAAAATCACAAGCAAAACGCTCTAAGTTAACAACGAACGTTAACTGAAATTAATAATTTATTTATTTATTATACAGTAACTGTCAAATATTTTGAAATCAAATTAAGATACTACAAATATTAAGAGAACATTTAAATTTTTATTTATGACACTTAAATTTGCTTTATTTGTTCATAACATTTCCAACGTTAAACAGATTTTATGCAAATAACAAATTATTTTATTTCTGGATCATATTCAATATGCTTTTAGTGAGTGCCATGGTCTCAGACATGCTTATAAGAAAAATGTGTAAGAGATAACGAATGCCATCTAAAAGTGATTCACACCTCTCAGATGACATTCATTATCTCTCACATATGACTCTTCACTGCGTTACTATGAATTCTGTAACTCATTATAGTATTCTGAGAACGGATCTACAGATAACTATTTAATATTGTAAACGTTTATGGAAATTAGCTTATGCTAAAATATTTGTGTTAAATTCGATAAACGGTATATAACTGCCACAAAAGCATTTTGATGTATTAGTGTGGACAACAATGGTGAAGATGCATCCTTCCTTCAAGGAATTTTCTAATTTTATCGTTACAATATTTACGACACTACTACGTATGATAGCATGCAAATAGATAGTAAGAATATACAACTTTATATATAAACGTTTTTGTTTCGTAATCTACGTAATCAACTAATCTTGATCAAGTGTAACCCCCGCTTTGGTCAAGAGATACCCGCTTTGCAAATGACGACCCGATAAAATGTCGAGTAAAATTTATAATTACAATTGTCTATTACAATGTGACAGTTTGGAACTCTTTATTAACCCTTTGAATTTGATTAATTTTCCTTGTTCCTTTCTGAACTTAACACATAACATGAATAAAAACTCGTTAGTACTTCAGTTTTTGTGAACACGTTTTGTGCTTTACATATACAGTACTACTGTGTGCATTATTTAGTAATTGCCATTACGATTATACTAATTCTACTTAGATTTGCATTGGTTTATTCGTGCTAGTAAATCAGTGAGTTCAATGGGGTTCCTCGTTTACGAGAAAATATGTTTTGTATAATGATTGGTACTCGTATCAAACACCGTACAAATGGTATAACAAAGCAAGAAACATTATCATCATTACGAAATTCAATTATTTTTATCGTTGAATGTTGAGCACAAACTTCATTAACTTTATAAGATATTAAAGGAATATCAGGTATATAATTAAGGCATAGTCTGTTTTATTCCAATATGTCATCAGTTTGACGAATAGCTTTTACATTATGATTTTGTTCGTTGCACTTCCTTTATAAAATGTTGTGTTGATCGATTATACACATTTTAGTCGTATTTTATCATGTTTTCATTTTGCGAGGAAAGAAATTATTCAGAGTTTCGCAGAAATAATTTGTATCAAATACAGTCGATTCCCCCTATAACACTGTTGATTTTTCTGTTTTATATGAATTCCATGTTGTACGAGTCACTTAGATTTTACAAATACGTGTGCCGGGCTATGAACGGCTCACGTATTTGTAAAAGACAAGTGACTCGTACAACATGGAATTCATATAAAACAGAAAAATCAACAGTATTATAGGGGAATCGACTGTATATTAATTATTTCTGCTCGTGTCAAAAGCTAATTATGGCTTTTATTTAAAATTTAAAAATTAGTTTCATTTTCGTATTTGTAGGTAATAAAAGTGAGTTTTTGCAAATATATTTACAAAAACTCGCTTTTATTACTCGTGTAGTGGGCTTTAAACTTACAATTGGCAATCGGTTCATAGGCTTCATGTAGCAAATGTCGACCTCAAATATATTAGCCCATATTTCTATTTTCAAAATTCTCGCTTCGTCGCGACATCTGTCTTGTCAAGTTCCACAGATGTTCAAAAAATAATGTTTAATAATCGTGCGTAACGTTTAAACTTCGATTACAGACAAAACACTTTCTGACTTATGAAGAGCTCTGCTCAATTAGGCCCAGCAATAAGGCATTCATAATTAGAATACATTACAATATAATAAATCTAAGTTTATGTTTTATATTACAAGTAATTAAATTATTTTCAAGATCATTAATTTCTCTCAATTAAGTATTCATTTAAATTTAGAATACCAGAAAATATGGAATGAAGAGAACTTCCCATCTGAAATAAAACATACGCTTTTAGAAGTAGGACAACTATAGAAATAATAGAAGTAAATTAATTGGTATAACTTACTTTTATGGGAAACTTTTTAGTCACTTTGAAGTAATCTCTAACAGTCAAACACAAAGATTCTTTACCAAATCTCTTCATGAAATTCAGAATCTGTTTGATCAATTATTAATTAATAATATTGTACATTAATTATACAATAACAAAATAAATAAATAAGCATACAATATAAAATAGTACCGAACCAAATATCTATTTTGAATATATTTTTGAAACCGGATATTTTCAAATTAGACATGCTGTAATACAGATGAATTTCCATCTTCTTGTTTCGATTTCTTACGAGACCAATTGCAGTTTCCCTAATGACTGGAAATGTCTCAAATCGATCCCTTCCGGTCTCAAGTTGCCAGATATTTGGTCTCGTACCGTACAATTAAACTATCTGACCTTTAATTTCTGTTCTAATTCGAGGTCACAATCAGCGAATCTTCTAATATCTTGAAACGACGTTTGCATCTGAAAAACAAAATAACGCATTTAATCGAATCTGACGATAAAACAAATACATAATCTTGATAAAATACGTTACGCTGGAGGTGAAAGCAGATGCAAATACTCCCATTACAATACACATAACAGTTGCTAGGACACAAATAATGGAGATGTAGATTTTGAAAATAAATTCCATTTTTGAAAACACGACAATGAAATAAAGTAGACTGGTTTCGATCAGTATACATCCGTACATGGTTGTTATAACGTAATTAAATGGACCGTTGATTTGGTCGGTAAAAGTCCAAAGTTCGTGGTGTTGTGCCATAATTTCTTCCAATTCCGACTTCAAATTTGGATTATACTTTTTCAATCGATACAAATCTTCTGATAATCTCTTGAATAATTTCATTAACATAATCACTATGAGGATAATGTAAGCATTAGAATTCACAATACAACCACTGGCAATTGTCGTCCAGATCCCGAGTTCAACGGAGCAGAAAAGAGCTTCGTATTTGAAAAGTTTTTCTCTTTCTATTGCCGGATAAATGTAAAACAGGTTTAAAACTTGACCCGAAAATGTGAAAATTATAATCGAAATCACAACAATAATTTCTGCAGAACTTATAATAGCAAAGAGTTTATTCCCAGGAAAAATTGAGTCTCTTAATTGTATTGTTGAATCTAGTTTAACTCTTTTTATAATACTAAATATTAGAGCGAATGAAAATGCAAAAATTGCAACAGCCAGTTTGACAAAGTTATCATTTTTAACAAACGAGTACCAACCGTTGCAAGGTGTTTTATTCGATAAATAAGGAATTGCCAAAGAAAAGGTGAGAATGAAATGTATCCAATAAAGAGCTTCAAGAAAACAAACATAAAATTTCTTCAAAAATTTCCAAAAAGAATTGTAACTGTTGATGGAACAAGAACAAGGATTGAAAACATTGCATCCGTAAACCAATAAAATCGACGAAAATGAAGGCAAAAAACATTGCAAACATAACTCCTCATTTAAATTAACAACACTGGGTCTAACAGTCGAAATTACGGTTGGCATATTTTTAAGTAACGAAATAATAGCATTTATATAAAGATTAACGTGTTGTTCTGAAAGTGCTTGTTACAGCATAGTTATTACGTCTTGTATGTTATAACTGAAGGTAGCTCACTCTTTACTTACGTTTTATATAATTATTAATGCATTAAGCGTATCTTCTAATTTAAGATGTTTTGTCATGTTAACCTAACTATTAAAATAATGGGATTTTTATCTTTTAGGAGTTTCATTCTGCATACAGTTTGATAGCTGATTGCAACAACTATGCAAGTAGTAGTAATTAAAAAGGATAAGAATTTCGGTTTATATGAAATCAATATGTTAATATAACATTTTAATTGATGTCTTTAATTGGAAATAGTTTGCTTTTCTTGATTTACGTAGGAAATAAATTAGAAGTACATCATAGAAGTATTTATTATATTTGAAATAGAAAGCATATTACATTAATTGCTACAATTTGTACATTAATTCTGCATAATGGAAATGTATTTTTATATCAGAATGGCTTAAATTGGATGCTTGTTTGTGCAGTGATGTCTACAATCGTCTTGTTTAATTGTCTAAATATATATTGTTATATGAGATTTATTTGCCTAATGTTTTTTTCTTATATTATTGACATTTTTATTTTTGCTTAATAAAGGTATTTTTTACAATTAAATAATATTTCTTGGTTAATCCCTTTTCTAAATTTGTAGTTTACAATTTTTATGCTCATTTCTGTTATAAACGACATTCCAGCTTTGTGTACTGTACTTGGATTTTGTTGGAATTCTAATAATTTAAGCATGTCTCTTTCATTTCTTTCTGCATCTTTTTGTTTCTGTCTTCCTTATTTTTGAGGATTTTTTTTATTCTTCTAATCTTGGTACTCTCGGTGCCACTTCGGTGGATAATGATGCCGTCTTCTATTCTTCTTATATGTTTTTATGTAGTTGTTACTACTACTTACGAACTTTCAGCACTTAACAAAGACGTTTGTTGTGTTTACATAACCTACATCTTTACATTAGATAATACATTTATTTTATTAATACTTATATAAGAGTTTAGGTAAATCAGTAAGCTACTTTTAATTACAGTATTTAGATATAATAGATATTATTTATCGCTGTAACGAGGAATTTTACTCCATAATAACATTTTCAGAAGAGGAGAATATTTATTATTATACTGTATTTATAAATACTATTATTTTACTTGTGTAAAAAGAACGTAAATCGTAATTTCAAGTGTAAGGCCTAGCGATGGTATTTTAAATCAGGAGTAATGTTTTTTAACCCTTATTTAAATCACTATTAACGGTTTACGGATGCCGTTTTTTCAACCCTTTCTCTTGTGCTATCAACAGTAACACTACTGTAATAAACTTTCGAACAAATTAAATATTTCTTTTGTCGAATGTGTTTATTGGATACATTTTATTCTGACTTTTTTCTATAACTATTCCTTATTTATCGAATAAAACACCTTGCAATTCTTCCAATAATCAGGATATTCAATTAAAGGAAGTCAATGGAGGAATAAGGATAAGTAATCTCGGATAAAGGGGTTACATTGAGGAATGTATTCTCAAGGATATCCATGTTTGGGAGTAGAGAATTGAAGAATACAGTAAGTTGAAGATAGAAAAGAGATTAATTAATATGGTATTTTATAGGTAAGGAACGAAGTTGTATTTAACACACTGTATGACAGCAATGCTACTCCAATTGTTCCAGTACTACATTACTTTTTTGGTTCGCTTATTTATTTAATTGTTGTGTAATTATTATACAATATTATTAATAATTTATCAAACATACTTTGAATTTTATGATGAGATTTGATAAGGAACCTTTGTGTTTCTCTCTTAAAAATTAGTAATTTTTCTAGATATAACTCAAATTTTGAGTGATACAAGTATTGTATTTTTGAATGAGAAAACGAGCAAAGCTTCCTCATTATATTCTATTATCTCACCCCGAATCGACTCGGGTATGAGTGCTTTATCTCATATGTTTATTTATTTTGTATTTTTATTATAAACTCGGAAAACTCCACGAGGCCAGCCCGTCTGAGCCACCGAACTCCCAGTGTTCGGGGAAAGGAACCGCATGGTCACTGGTAATATTTCTTTACCATTTCTAAACAATATTTATAAACTGGCTTTGATTTTATGCGTATAAATTAATATTTTGAATTTAAAAAAAATACAGTAAAATTATTGTTGTAATTTTTTAAATGAAGAAAAAATTATAATTAAAAATATATTTTTTTTATTTTAGAAAAATATAATAAAAGAAATTATAAAACGATAGGTGGCGTGTTAGGAATTGCCGTTACGTCATCGACAAGATGGCGACTAGGTTGTAGTTTAGGATGTAACGTGTGTCGTAATAAGAAATGAATAGATTAGCTTTTAGTTAACAGTTAAATATTAAAATAAGTAATTAATTTAGCGCTTAATGCCTTATATATAACACAGATCGCATAATTAAATAATTTTATGAAGTTTATATCGGAAGCGATGTATCAAAAGACTCTGTTGTACTATTGTTTGCTTTTACCTCTTACTGTTCCTGCTATATTAGTTTTTCTATTTTGGGCTTGGTTAGGGTATCATCTCTTCACCGAATGAGTGAACGATTATGAAGGTAATTTTGCTCTTCAACAGCATGCTTCCCTTTTGTTTGTGAATTTTTAATTGAATGAGAATTATGTTTAAAACATAGGATAAGATATAAACTCTGAATGAGTAGTTTCCCATTCCCAGAACTGTAGACCCCCTGTACGAGCAAAAAAAGTCAGAGGAACCATACCCGTATATGCAACCCTTTGCCAGATATTTGCCTTTAGGGGTCAATTTTTATCTTGTACTGGTATACTACCTATTTGCCCTTTAGCACTTTCTGAGTGCTGAAAACTTCAAAAAAAAGTATACTGCCTATTGAATGCTCCATGTCGGTCAAGGCAAGCAGTAACTTGCATAGACTGACATGAAGCATTGAATTGACAAACTACACTACACGTGGGGACATTGGTCGAGGCAAGCTATTGCTTGCCTCGACCAATGTCCCCACGTGTAGTTGTATGTTTGAGGTGTGAGCCCCACACCTCTCTAAAACTGTATAACATCAAGTACAGTGATACCTTGGTTTTTGTTGATAATCCATTTGAAAACAACCAACGTAAGCTGAGGCAATTATTTCCATATGAATCAATGTGAATTCAATTACCGTATTTACTCACATATAAGACAAGATTTTTATTCATTTTTCACTGCTTCAAAAACCTAGGTTATCCTATACATGCGAGTAAAGGAATTTTTGCAATAATTTCTGTAAACCGTGTGTTTGCAATTTTTACCAGATGCTCACCCTCTGGTGTTTAAAAAAAAGTATTTTATTTGAGTTGTTTCAATCTTTCTTGTGTATTGTCAGGAGTAAAGATAAATAGCAGTCTGAAAAGCCTTTCCCATGTGAAAACTGATTATTTGGAAATCAAAATTTGGTGAAACTCAGAAGTGTGATCAACAGAGAGTGGATTTGACTTAAGGGGTACGTTCGTAAAGTCAAACGAGTTAAACGCGTTAGTAACGAATCGTTCGAATAGTATTAGTCTCGCTCAGTGCGCATGCTCTGCGGTGATGACGTTTTGAACGAAACTCTAACGAAGTTCACAAAGGAAAGAGTTAGTTTACTTCGTTAAGAAAATGGCGCCCGACTATATTGATGTTTCTAAATCTACTCGAGTGTTTAAATTTGTAATTAAAAGATGAAATGATTGGAGTAACTGTCCACCCGAAGCAATCTAAGAAAAATACTGTAAAAGGCTGTACTAGCAACATTTGTATCTTCGATTTTAGAAATAGCCATTTAGTTCTAAACAAATCGTTCGAAAAGTCTAACAAAATAAGAATAACGATGACGTCATTCTCGTTTAACTCGTTCGACTTTACGAATGTAC